TCCTAAATTGGGCAATTGTTCAACGGTCATTAAAAAAATATTGTAATAAATAAAAATAATGCCTTTAAACTGATAATTATTTCTTATCACTAACAAAATTGTTATGCAATTAAAAAATTGATTATTAATTTACATAGTTAACATGTAAGTTAACATACAAAGCATGTAGATTGGGTAAAAATGAATAAAAAATTTCATCCTTTCATTTTTCACCCTAGTCTTATGTCCATTTTCCTTTGCCTTCCGATCAGATGATTCAGAACATCCTCTTCCGAAAATGTTATGTCTTTATGAAAGAACAGTGCAGAAAAAAAAATACTCTGAATAACTTTTAATCTAATGATCGGTTTTTCGGTCACTAAGACTAAATGATTCAAAGAGGTAATCTCAAATATGCAAATTAATATGTGCCATTTATGTTACGATATTTTAAGTTACAAAATCAGCCACAAAAGCGTACTTTCTCTGAATGAATACCTTTTTCTTTGGACGGATTCCTTACCCTCAAAATATATTTGGGTAGCCGCAATCTGAGAAATATGGTATAGTTTAGTCAAGAGGAGACGGTCCAACGATTGGACCACTTGAAGGTAATTTCACTTTATGCGTAATTTGCGAGAAATTAAGAAAGGCTTAATCTCGAGAAATTAAGCAAATTGAAAATGTTTGGCACACAATTATAAAATTCGCTTATCCAAAGATAATTCAAGTCAAAAAATAATTTTTTTATCATTTTTTAAACAGTTGATCCTGTGCATGTTTAATTACACCAAAGAAGCCATGCTTCTTTTTCTTTATGGGCATTTTCAAAATAGTTTGTTTCCATCCCTTAAAAAAAATGAAAAAGATTTTTTTTAAAAAAAGCTGGTCGAACGTTTATGATATGTTCTGTTTGAAGATCATTTACTCGTTCTCAAATAAAAATTGCTCTAAGGTATTTTTTTTATATATATTTTTATAGAGAGAGAGAGAGATGAATTTCAGATAATCAAATTAATAATAAAGAGAAATACCTCGCTGAGATTTTTAGGGGGGGGGGGACTCAGAAAACCCTATCCTAGGTGCGCCACTGATGCCTAAATATTTACACTGGCCACAATGCGCAGTGCGTCGAAAAAAGAAGAAAGACTGAATTGTTTTTTATCTAATGATCGGATCTTAACAGTCCAGGTTAGGACTAATGAATGTGAGTTGACGATATTTTAAGTTACGAAATCAGACAAAACCGTTCTTTCTCTGAATAAACATTTATTTCTTTTTGTTGACAGATTTGAATTTCTGAAAAATTTGTTTATCCAAAGATAATCCATACAAAAAAAAAACTTTGTGTTTTTATTATTTTATTTAACAATAGTTGAAAAAAGAATTTAATTGTAAGGTATACAAATTTTTACATCATTTTAAAGGTTGTAATTTTAAGGGCGAAATTTGAACGTGATTGGTCGAATAGTTCCTGAGAAACTGAATGTTAAATAATACGAATTTTTTAAAATTTAATTTCTCAGGAACTATTCTACTGATTTCTTTCAAATTTTGTATTTTGCTTTACAAAATTACATCGTTTAAAATGACCTAAAAATTTGTGTATCTTACTATTCGCATTTTTATTCAATTATTATAAAAAAATATTTACTTATCAAAAATTATTTTTTGCATGGAATCATCTTTAGGTGAACGGATTCTACAATTTTGTGCAAAAATTATTCGATTCGCTTAAAAAAATCTCGATTTAAGGGGAAATATGCAAAAAGTATAATTAACATTACATGACCTGACTTTTGCCCGTTTTCCTGACCAAACTATTGGGACTATAATATTTCCCGGATTGCGGGGGGGGAGGCTGGGAATCCAAAAAAAAGTTCGTTTATTCAGAGAAAGTGCCTTTTTGGGTCTGATTTCGTAACTTAAAATATCGTCTGCGCAAATTAATTAGCATATTTAAGATCATCCTCTGGAACTATTGTGTTTGAGTGAGTCCTCATGAAAATTCGATCATTTGATGAAGATTTATTTTTTAAAAAAAAATCGTTTTTCCCTCTTTTTTTTAAAAAAAAAAAATTTTTTTTTGTTCATGATACACTAAATATGACAACAATGACCATCATAATAATTATTATTTGTTTTAACTTTAATTATATTTTTAAAAAGAGGGCCTCATAATATCAGAAAGAAAACTACCTGAATGCCCATTCTTCCTACAGGAGAGAAAAATAAATAATCACTAATTCGGTATTAACACAAGGTAAACATAAACAAAACTGAAAAACGTATACGGGCACAATAAAATAATTTCAATTTTTATATCATTACTATTCCCTTTCCTTTGGTTTTACGTTATATAAAGTTCATAACATCAAAATAAAGATAAATTATATTCGATTTCGATATCCTTTGGCACGATGCTATTTCTCTTTACAAACTCATAGTTCAAATTTACCTCAATCAAGTAATTGTTATCTTCAGTGTCTGGAACTCTCCCGCAGTGGTTGTATGCAAGCTATTTGACACAGGCCAATGGAAGGTCAGTAAGTGCCGCAGAGGGGTGTCGTTCCCCAAGCTTGAAGGTTAGGGGGATAAAGGATAAAGACCATAAAGACCCTTTCGCAGTGACTCTGGACTAAAAAAGAGGTTAGTAGCTCTTTAAGAAAGGAGTGAATTACTGTGTAAAAATATTATCTTTATATATATATAATATATATTTAATCAAGAGGACATAATGAATATTTTAATGAAACTTAACTACTCAGATTGCTCTTACTCGACGTACATCCTTAACACGCAAGTTTTAAATAAACACTACTCATTTGAAAACGTTTGGAATTAAAATTAATAAATTTATTAGATAAAATATATATATATGAACATTGAATTAAGAAAAACATTTGTTTCCATTCATTATAAAACGGTATCAATGGACTGTTAGTAATGAACTTAGTGCTCACTAACAAAATCTCACTAACTCACTCAAATTACTCACTAACAAAATCTGTCTACGTACTTAAAATATTTTTCGATCTGGCAGTCGGCAGAAATTACCTGTGAAAAAGGTTTCAATGTAAAAGAGGAAGCCATAAGGGAAATTTCTAGGGGGGGAAACTAGACAAAAAAATAAATAAAGCTATCAAATAAAACCAAGAGTAAGAAACATTACGCTTTCTATCTGACTTTTTTCTTTTAAATTTATTTATTTAAAAAATGAAAACACCTGCCTTTTTAAAATCGTGCTAATAAATAAATGAAATAAAAATCGAACTCTATTAGCCTGGTGGAACGCTGCAATGCCAGGCAAAACGCTACTGAATTGCATACAAAAGATATTAACAATTGAATCGATCGTTAAATTCATATAATAACTATAGAGGTGCTTTTTAGTTAAATGCTTTTTTTGTAAAAGCACCTTTATAGAAATCGCATGAATTTGAATTTGACGACCAATTTAATTCGGGTCATTGAACCATCATTTAATATAATAATATGTATTGTAATATTCATAATTATAATTATTATAATTTTAAAAATAATAATAAATAAAAAGTAATAATATTTAGTAATATCTATTATAGAGGTGTTTCTTAATTCGGTTATTTTCTTGCAAAAGAACTGCATCCAAATCAACGGGTAAAAAAGCACCTTTATAGAAATCGCATGAATTTGAAGACCAATTTAATTCGGATCAGTGATTAACGTGATTAATTAAAGTAATTTTAAAAATAATAAAAAAAAATTTCTAATATTCAATGAAATATTAATAATAGTAATTAATAATATTTATGCAAGTGATATTATAGATATTATTAAATTAGCTATTAATTAATTAAAATTAATTATTAAACGAACCCTTTAAATAAGGGTTAATTTAAAGTTTACAGAAAGGAGCCTTCCTCACTTCATACTATTTAACAAAGCGTTTGGTAAACTGAAGCAGTTCTAAAATTATCCTAAATTTCAATAATTACTCTTATTTGTGTTATTGGTATAATATTATACAAATAATACTTATTCAAGTGTGTATTGTATTTTTAAATTGAAATATAATTTAGCATTTTTAACTCCCTCCCAAGTTACTATTGTAAATTGATACATCTTCTCTACATATATAAGAACGAAAGTCTATCTGGACGAATGTTCTCTAATAACTCAAGAACAAAGACATCAATGTAAATCATGCTTTTTTTTAAATAGTAGTAGTTTGAAAATTTTAAAACATGGTGATTTGTGGACCATTTTTCCGGCGTTATGTTGTTATAGCACAGCATCGAAAATACGAAATTTCATTGAAGAAAAAAAATTTAAAAGTGAAAACATTCACTGATGAAAAAGAAATTAAAACAAAAGATTAAAACGTGCGCTGTCGTAGAAACAGCATTTTTACAAAACATTAAAAATATGAAGACGAAACTGCTAGAAAAAATTAAATATCCTTGAAACTCGCAAAATGTTTAGATTAGAGCAGCGATGGCTCAGGGGATAGAGCGTTCGCGAACCGGGTTCGAATACCAGAGATGACTGGTCGATACGAATTTCGCTTCCCGCTTGCACCGACCACAGTGCTCAGTGCTGACATGAAATATCCTCAGTAGTAGACGGATCATGGGTTAGAATCCCCTTGCCGTCAGGCTAACCGTTAGAGGTTCTCGTGATCTTCCTCTCCATGTAACGCAAATGCGGGTTAGCTCCATCATGAAACACTCCACGAAGGCTAATTTCTCCCAACACTCGATCCAGGAGTTCCCTTGTCTTCTGGATTGGGTTCAAAACGACAAGGCTACGGAGTTGAACATTAATAGTCGTAAACCCATAAAATTGGATCGGCTGTTTAATGACGGTTATAAAAAATAATTTTTTAGATCAGAGCCGTGGTGGCTCAGGAAACAGAAAGCTCGCCTCCCAATGAGATGAACCAGGTTCGAATCCCACTGAAGGCTGGTTAATTCGAATTCCGCACCCGGCTCGCACCGACCACAGTATTAGCGTTAAATATCCTTAGTGGTGGATGGATTATGGGTTAGAGTCCTCATGCCGTCAGCCTAACTGTGGGATATTTTCGTGGTTTTCCTCTCCATGGAACGCAAGTACATATTAGTTCTATCAAAAAATTCTCCAAGAAGGATCATGAGGACGTAATCATTATTCATTTCAACAGCTATCATTCCATAAGCTTCTGCACTTTTTGTTTACAATTAGACTGTCCCTTAAATGTTTTGTACCCCTGTCGTCTGAATCTGTAAATTGATTCAGATCATGGTGGAATTAGTTTAATTTATTGATTTCAGATCTATTTTCATTCCTATTTAATAGTTCTTACAGGAATGAGAACAGTCCAACAGCATAAGGAAATTTCTCTTATTAACACACATGTTATCTTCCTCCAAAGATACTTTTTCATTCATGTTTTTATGGTAAAGAAATAGGAAAGATGGTATTCATGCCCTTGTTCATTTTGAATATTCTTGTTGTCAAAAGTACAATGAATGATGGACTTACATTCAAAGAAACTTCAACAATGCAAATATGAGCGTGTGCAATACCTACCGCAGTTAGCAGTTATACTGGTTTTCGTTTTAGTTGTACAGCGTTAAAAAATTGTAGCTGGTACTCGGCACATGTTGCCTTTTTACAACGGAGTTACTCTTAAGAATCATGGTAAGATTTTTTTTTTAAAACTTTTTTATGTCTTTTATTTGCTTAATTTCGATCGATGTTTCAAAAAATTTCAAGTCTTGATTGACAGCCCATGATACCACGTGGAAACAAATGATGTCCGTCATTTTCACGTACTAAGTGTCAATCTTAGTGGTTTCTGGGGGTGACCTTAAATATGCTAATTATTAAGTTACGATATCGGACACAAAAACGAACTTTTTCTGATTAAACATATATATTTTTTTACATGTTCAAATTCTTAACCTTCAAAATATAAGGAGTAGCCGCAGTCTGGGAAATGTGGTCCCCATAGTTTGGTCAGGAGAGCGATTCAAAGTTCGAACCCCTTGATGTTAATTTCACGTTTTGTGTTTTTAGTCATATTTTTGAAACTAATTAGGCAATTTTTAAAAAAAATTTAACCCACTCAAAAAACCCGTTTACCCAAAGATAATTCCATGCAAAAAATAACTTTAAATAATTTTTTTGATTATTCAATTTAATTGTGGAGGGAAAAAAATTAATTATGAATTCTAACTTTTTTTATGCTATATTAATTTACGTATTTTTCTAATGCAAAATCTAAAGTTTCAACAGTTTTTATTTAGTAGAAGCCGAGAAAAATTAAAATTTATTATTTTTTAAAAAAGTAATTAGGCGACAAATATAAAATATTTAAATGCGGTGATTAATATTTAAATGTAGATAACTTACGAGAAATTTGACTTACACGCTCTAAGCGTAAAATTTCATTCTTTTTTCTTTTTTTTTTTCGTTAATTACCGATTGTTAACCCCCTTTTTAAGTTATAAAATACGGTGTTTCTTTTTTAGTCGTTTAAAAATTTATTCGCAATTTAATAAATAGATTTGAATAAAACATTTTATTGAATAAAAAACATTTTATTCAACGAATGTTGAGTTTTATAAAAGCATGTTTCTCTTGGAATGTGGTTACATCAGCTTTTTTTACAGTATTTTTTACTTTGTTCTTTCAATAACTGATAGAATTGCAATAATATATAAACGTATGCATAGATTTGGAATAATATATTTATCGATTTCGTCAATGTATATTTTATAATTATTAATACGTATACGTAGTCAACTTTTTTAAGCATCTTAAAATTCTCTACATCTTATATAACGTGTTAATCTTAAAATAATTTTTTTAATTACCTATACGCGCGTGCTTCGCAGAATTATTTTACTCACTGTTTATTTAAATTTTAATATTTCTCAAAATCTTATTCTTTACGCTACTAAGTATATTATTTTCCCATTAATATACTAATATATTGTTTTAGTACATTAATTTAGGTTTTCCTTTAAAGAAAAATTCCTTTTTAAATCATAGCAAGTTCTTATGAAAAAGGAAACAGAATTACTGCCAGCTAGGAGAGAATTAAATCTTGTTAAGAAATTTAAAATATTCTACTGATCAAAATTATTTGAAGCTATACAGCTAACTATTTACTAAGCATACTATTTTTTCGAGAAATGAAGATAAATTATTTATTGTCTTTTTTTATTATTTCGTATTTGTTTAAGTAATGAAAAGCAAATGCATATGTGTTCACAGCAAAAAGAAAAACAGTTTGCTTTCCTTCTTTTTTCATTTTTTAATGAACGAAAAGTTACGGACATGCAATATTTTGTTGACTTTCAAACTTATTCTCGTTTGCTAACTTTAAGAAAGATGCTCTTTTAAAAAGGATAATGTTGAAAAAATTTGCTTAAGAAGTTGTAAATAATATTTCTCAACCTAAGCACAATTCAAAAAAATATTGTTATGTCAGGAAAGTGCTTGATATGCCTTATTTTGTTAAACAGAAAATACTAAAAATAGTAAATTGTAAAAAGTCCAAAACCGTGCTATTTTTAGAATCATCATCTCAAACAATTCTTCTTTTTCTCACTTTAGAATTTCCTTAATGCTAAAATAAGGTATATTAAGAGATTTTTGGATAAAAAAATTATTTTATTGATGCAATTTAATATGCTTAGCAAATAGATTTAACATGCATTTTTTAAAAATTATAAATAGAAATTGTTCTTTTATTTTGCCGAAAAAATACAAGAATTTTAATATTTCTTTTATGCTCAATTGAAACGTAACTATGATTTAATTAACCCCAGAATTGAAATCTGTTTGGACGTAGCGTTTAATTGCTTGAAACAGTTAAAAACAATTAAATTTATTAAAATTATTAGAAATCAAACTTATTCTTTTATTTTGTTAAGAGCAGCAGGAAAAGTAGTGAAAAGCCCCGTTTACCATTATACTTACTATTCATACATTTAATCATATAAGCAAAGCTATAAAATAAGGGGTAAAATATAAATTCTAATAAAATATCTCCTTAAGTATACACTAAAACATATTTAGAATAGATTTTGGATTGATGAATAAAAAATACATTTTCAAAAAATTTCGAATAGGGCGGAGATTTTAACTTGTCCTAAATAATTTATTTGTAACTTCTTTGTAATGTCTTTCAGAGAAGCAGTAAATAAATATATAAATAAAACATAATAAATTTTTGAAAAAAATAGAACTAAATAAATAAATGAGTAAATAAAAATGCACTGCTTTGAATTTCTTAGTAAGTTTTTTGAATTATATATTATTATGTCTGTTTTTTTTTTCAATTTAAGAGCCATAACTATTATCTTATGTAAAACTAATTTTAATATCGCATTAAATATTTCAATGTAATACACTGTGTCATTAAATGAATAATCCCCAGAATCTAAAGATAGGAGACAATTCATTACAGAGATAATTTCATTATCTTTAAAAAATATTAAAATGTAAATAAAAGTCGACATGTTTTGAGCAGGAAAAAATATGTCATTCCCGTCTTAAGTACTTGATTTCTTCACCGCCTGTCTATATCGTGTGGAAATGCATGTTGTCCTGATTTGCCTCTCTTGCCCACAGCGGTTTTTTGGGGGGGTATTTCTTTTAACTCTCGTTTACCGCAGTTTTCTAGTTTTGTTTTTCACTTTATTTTCCATTTTTCGTGTGTAGCTTAACGTTTTCTGCTTCAAATCACTTTTGTTTCCACACTCATGTGCTTATTTTTGAGCTTTAGACTTTGTAGACCTTTATCACCATCTTCATAATTTTGAAGCAAATAAAATTTCTAAGTCCCCAGGTATACTGATTCAGTTTTTGCGAATTATTCATTCAAATCATGCAGGGAGGAGTTCATGAAATTAGCACAGTTTGTGATATGACAGAGAAAGGAGGTAACAGAAAGTGCGTATTCCACATTTTGGTTAAAATAAAAGTATTTACAATTTGAAAATTAAATATTTTTTAAAATAAGTATACATATAATAATTATTATTGTTATGCTTATAAATGTTATTAATTTAAAAAAGTCAAAGTTTAAATTGAAATTTGAAGTTTGATAAAGTATGTGCTTACGTAATGTAGAGTGACGAAAGGGGGCGGGAGTACGGTGAGGGGTGACACTTTGTGACATAAGAAGTGGTCAAAAATATTGAAAAAATATCTGTGACATAATTAATGGGTGAGTTACCTTTTAGACGAATAAGCTAAAAATGATTAAAATAAGTCACACTATAGTTTTCATTAACATGAAAATAAAAAGAACTGTTATAAATGTTATTATCAGAGAAAAATCTTTATTGATGAATTAAGGTATTTTATTTAGATTTTAAACACGCGATGGGAAATATAATGCAATTTTTTTCAATGTCTGTCATTTTTATATTTTATTTAATATATTGTTATTTTGAAAAATTATTTTTCCAAAAAATATGCTGTAACATTTTTATTGGCATTTTATTTTAAATGTTTTAATACGAACAACATTAATATAAAATAAATATTGAACTATTGCATGGAACTAAATTTAACTACAAACTTCAAAAATCATTGCTGGTTGAAATAAAAAAAGTATTAAGTGACTTAACTTTTTAAAAATAAATAAATGAATAAATAAACTCAGAATCGCTTAAACCGTTCTAAAAAACCTAATGATTCCAAGAAACAAATTTTTGGGAGCCGCTCTTTAACTATTTGAGAGGTGGTAAAATCCTAAAATTTCGATTGATGATAAATTGTGCTAGGCGAAAAATAATAAAAAATATTTGCAAATTTTTCCGTTTAATAATTTTCCATCCTTTGCGTTTTGCTGGTTACCTATTAAAATTATTTAAAACTAAAACTTTCTTTTGTGTTTGAAACCTTGTATGTCGGACCATGGTAGTAGTTTGCAGATTATAGAACACCGTGTTCTACAATCGTATACCGTATCTTAGGACATAGCTTATGTATTAATTGTGCTGCGTATACAATATATATAATATATATAAAATATATATTAAAAATTCGGAAAACAAAAAAAAATTAAAAGATATCTCTTCATCAACTCACACGGTTATATCCGAACAAATGAGTGCTTTCTAATACTGTATCTATATAGCAAATGCAAAATATATCAATACAGTAGTGTGAGAAGCACTAAAAAAAATTAAAACAAAATCGAACACATTAGATAAAAATATATCACGCAAAAAAACAGAAGATAAAATGTAAAGAAACAACAGAACATAATACAAAACGAAATCTATAAAGCGAGTAGCGAATTCAAATAAACTTACATGTACCGGAATCTTAAAATTATTTTCGTAATAAGATTGCAGATTATAAAATATGAAAATAGAAGCGCAAATAGAGACAGAAACGTAAATGAAGTTAAAAAGCGTAAATAGAGAGATTTCTATGAAATGACTCTTAATCTTATGTATACTATATTTTATTTCAGTCGCAAGAAATCAAACGAAATCAGCCCTTAGAAATGGCTGACAGAATTCACGAAGCCCAAATGAAGAAGCTGTATGGAAAAAAGGAACAATATCTCAAGGTTGTTGAAGATACAGCTCAGGTTCCCTACAATGCCTCACACAAGCCAAAATTCCATGGCAAAAAGTGAACAATTTTTTATAGTTCTGAACTGTTTGTTAGAAATAATTTGACGTACGTTTTCCTTTCTTGCGTATCTTGTACTAAGTCATTGAAAAGTGTGTAATAAAATATTGTTAAACCTAAAATAAAACGTTACTAAGATTGTCAAATTTAATTTTACTAATAATTCCTTTCATTCATACAAATAAGTCATCAACTATGTGCTCTCTCACATATTCTATCAATGAAACATTAAGTTTATTTTACTATTCATTTTAAAAACAGCTGGTTATTTAACTTTAAAGGATTTGATTCAGTATTTTCTGCAAAAGTAAATGTTTTAAATGGTATCAAACACTTTAAAGATGAGCTTCAAGTTTGCCTAAAAATGACCATCAAAACCTTTGGATGAAAATAAGACTAAACAGGGCTAGTTTTAGGAGGGAAAAAGAATTAAGAAGACTTAATTTTAATGTAGATGGGAGCATAAAAAAATAATTAAGAATAAATCATGTTTTAATGAGCGAATTCCTTGTTTGTAACGAGTATCATAAGATGTATCTTCAAAATGGTGTATACATCAGAAAACATATCAATGAAATCCTTTTCAAACATGTATTTATAGAATTTATTACGACCTGAAAAGTATTCAAAGGGGAAGTAATATTAGGATAAGAAAAAGTGTACTGTATTTCGTAATATCAGATCCTAATAGTAACTCTATGTCTATGTAAATATACCTTTTAGAGATTTGATTTCGTAATTCTAAATAGAAAGCTAATACTACGAAAGAAATGTTCTGCTTCCTTATTGTGAAACTGATAGCACTTATTAAGTTTTTCTATGTGTTGTGTATGCGAAACCTGTGTATTTATCAATTCCCAGACGATCTTCTCCAGAAACATTCTCAACGAAATCATTAAAGGGAATTATTCCGGGCCCTTGGTTTTCTCCAAAATATTCATTACAAAACGTGTAGCAGTTTAAAACTTTTGTCCCCACCTTTTTTTTTTCTTTTTTTTTGCGATTTAAAATTCAAATAAGAAGATAGGAATTCTTTTATGGTTGTAAAGACGAGGTTTATGTGAAAGAAATCGAGTGCAAAGTCTATGAATAAAAATTTCGTGATTGTTTTAGTTCTTTAATTACGATATTTAATATTTCTTTTCAATTACCTGTAGTAGTAGTGATTTATTTACTTCGCACTAGAGCCTCAGACTAAGCTATTGGTGATGATCTGTGAAAAATCCCTGAGAATGAGTTGAAGACATTCGATCACAACCTTGATCCTCTGCAGAGGGTGTTGCTACCCCGCTTTGGTAATCTAAAAACCTATGTGAAACTGCATAAAGAGCCAGTCTCCCTAGATTGTTTCCAACTTTTCTACTATATGTAACCGATTTACTGTATAAGTTCATCACTGACTGTTTGGAACAAATACTATTTGTGGTGATTATTAAATTTTTTTTAATGAATCAAATTCAGCAATTTGTTTCTGAATTTTTTATTCGAAAGAAATTGAAATTGATTTTCCACAAAATATGTGGTGTCATTAAAAAAATTGTTGAAATGATATTTTAAAAGCTCTTGTCAAATTAAATTATTTATTGTCTTGTAAACATTTTGTTTTGAATGTTCTATAGTGTTTTGACACTTATTTTCTCCAGGAAAAAAAATAATTAAAGCTATTAGGAGCTATATTGGAATGCGTAGTTCAGGGCTGACGTTGTATTGAATATATAAATAACTATGCGGGACTTTTGCATCAACTGTAATCCGATTAGTGCTAAAGAGCGTCGACAACAACAACAACAAAAATCACTGGCAAGACCTTTTTTGGTGTTTTACTGTATGTTCGTGAGATGGCGCAAAGAATAGAAGTTTGATTTCAATTCAGTAGTTAGGACAAAGCGTAATATCTGTTCTTCTACATTTCACATTGAAACGCATTTCACATTCTTGGGAGATAAGGTCATGTTGATTTGTGGTTAAACAAAAAACTATTCTTCCCCGTAACTCTTTTATTTCTTTATTTTTTTAATGTAGATTTAAGATCAAACTTCTTTTATACAATAACGTGTAGACACTATTTATATTATTTGAAGAACACCTGATGTAAATAATTAGTTATAAATTCTTTCACCGTCTGTCAATTTAAGTAGCTTAATAATGTTATTGATTACAAGTAATCACTTGAATTTTGTAAGTAATACCTTTCTTAGAGTTATGAATCATTTCACCCACTAAATTGAGGTGTTTGGTCTTCTTTTATAATTTTCGTGATCAATTCATACATACTTTCCAATATTAACAGGCTATCACAATTTTATCAACATTTATTAAAAATGATAGTCATAATTTAATAATTGTATCACATAAGTACTCTTTCGCATCCAGGGGCCGTAGAAAATCTCCAATCTATTATTGGTGCCAGTGATGCTTAATTAATTGTGGTTGGTTAACTATTGGTATTGTCGTAATACGATTTTTACAGCCCCCAAAAACTCACTTAGTAGTAATAAAATATTTTTCCTTGTGTATTTAAAAATAAACTGCAAATGCTTATTTTTCGAAGCTCTTGCATTCATTATTGCACAATGCAGATTTTCTGCATAGTGAATCTGTAAATACTAATTAATCTATTAAAATAACAGTTGGTTTTCTTATTTTGTGTTTTATAAGTCTAAAATTGTCATTGTTTTATTATCTATTGATTAGTAGTTGTGTATACATTATATAGTTTTCTCACCTAATCTTATGAGACCTAATAGTTTTATAAGTTTCATTGACTGATTTAAATCTTAAAAACAATATAAAATATCAAAATTAGTATTCTTTTTGTGTGGCTACTTTGTTTTGATTAGTTTTAACCTCCAATTTCTTTTAACCTTTTTGTGGGTCTTAGGAAAATTACTTTCCATCTACATGATCTCACTATTGCCACGATGGGAACACAAGTTCAGTGCCCCCCCCCCCAAGCTCTTGGGCGCATTCTTGGGCAAATTCTAAATTCCCCCCAAACTATTCATTTTTTTTAGTGTAAAAATTCCCTCCCCCAAAGCTTCAAGTGGGCGCATCATGCGTCCACCTTCCCCCCTGGTGGGGGCCCCCGCACAAGTTTGTGCTGCTGTCTATTATTCAATTGATTGAAAATGATTAAAGCATTTGAATTTTGAACCCAATCTCATTGACTTTTTATAGGGTTGGGTTTGATGTGAATTGTACATTTTGCTACATGTATGCAGAATGTGATGTACCCTTGTGCATTGTAAGATGCTTCCTATATTTTTGAGGCAAATAATCATTGTGAAGTTTTTTTTCTTTAAAGTTGTAAATGGTTACGTACAAAATATGTTTCCCAACCTTAAAATATAAATGTAAAACATAAATTTCTACGAAATATTTTTTTAAATGCTATTGCTTAATTTTTAATAAAATATTTAAAAAAAATTAAGAAATAAGTTCATAAGAGAGGTTAACTTCACTGTATTTAGAAAAGCTGAACAAAATTCTCTCCCCACCTCTCTCTCTCTCTATATATATATATATATTGTATATACATATATAGATATATATATATTATGTGTTTGCTTGATTTATAACATATTATTGAAGGTTAAGTGAATTCTTTCAGGTTAAATATGCTAAATTATGTAGATGAGCTGGAAGAGAGGAAACAGAAAGAAATTTTATGAATCAGAAATATATTGATTGTTAAAACTGGGTTTTGTCTTTTAAAAGTGAGATTTTCTCTAAAAGACTTGCACCACCTAAGTTTTTTTTAATTTTTTCGTTAAATCCGATTTCTTGTTAAATCAGGGCTTATTATAAGCGAGTTTGACTATTAGTATATAATGATTAAGCATTCCTTCAAGATGGACTTCCTGACTATCTTCTTTGAATAAAGCATTATACATGCATTTTATACTCATCTTTATTTCAATGAAGTAGGGAATAATATTTATTACATTAGTTTTGTTTTAATACAATTTTTTTCTTTCAGGTAAAATTATTGCTGAGTGTTACTACTCTTGGATGTTGCCTTTACATCACTTCTGCTTATGAGATAGGAAGTTGTAATGAAGCAGTGTGTGCGTCCATAGTCAGTAAATGCATGTTGACACAATCCTGTAAATGTGATGCTAAAAATATAACATGCAGCAAGGATTGCTTTTATTGTTTAGATTTTCTCTATTCAGAATGCTGTTCATGTGTGGGTTAGTCTTAGTTGTTAATTTCTTTCTTATTAAAAGTAAAGATGCCTTTGTAAAGAGTGGACATAGTAGGCTCTTGATTATCTGGTTTCCATGCTATCCATCTTAGTAAAAAATTAGAAATACAGATTTGCCAACTATTACAATTAAGCTTTTATTACGACTTCATAGTTATGATTGCATTGTTAAGGTTCAGTAATAAAAATTTGGGAATTTTCATAACAGCTTGTTAAACATAATTTTTTTTATTTTTTTTATCCTTAACTACCAAGTGTTATTAAATTTTATTTTCTGCAGCAAATATTGGAAAAAAAAATATCTCATAATGCTTTTTTTTTATTAAGGACATCTGTTTTTAAATAGTAAATTCATGCATAATATTAATTAATATTAGGTATATACCTATATAGAATTTCTAAAAACACCTTAAAATTGCAATAACTTGAAATTTTTAAAAAATATGTGCATTATTGTACTTTAAACTTTTGATAGCTAGTTTGAGAAGCTGTCACTTCTAAAAATATAATAACCGACAGCAATATAAGAACTAATAGTAGGTGGATAAATCAAAAATTATGGATGTTAAAACATTTGTCTGTACACTTTGACTATTCCTTGTCAAAAATTTTCCATTTGTGTAGTTTATTATTAAACTTTAAACATTTTTTCATTAATCATTTTTCTTAAAATATGTAAATCATATTTTCAACTATATGGGAGAGTGACACTTTGTTTTATACGGCTATATTACAAATCTTATTTTTCTGCCACATAACTCTGAATACTCAAGAGCCTACTGTATAATTATTTATGATTTAACTTCAACTAGACAGTATGGAACTCAAAATCTACTATACAGGAACAGTTAACAAATGAAAAATAGAAAAGCAATTAAAACAGACTGATATTTTTTTAAATAACTCTATTATAGAGGTAAAATAGTGATTTGGTGATTAATTTCATCCTTGTTATCTTTTGTTGGTTTCTGGTTATTAATTATAAGATAATTGTTATAACATTTGGAGTTATGCATATTAATAAATATATAAAGTTATACTGAATTATATAAATATATAAAGTTTCATTATTAATTTTTAGATTTATGTTAAATATTAAATTTAAAAGAATAAAATAATATTTCATGATCTTTAGATTTTTATCTTAAAACAAAGAAAAAATTTGACCTTCTCTCATGGAGAGACTATACACTTTCTTCCTCGGAATTGGGGTGTAGAGACTCCATTGGTCTTCAGGCGAAAGAGAGGGATTCAGAAGATCTCAATAATTTCTAGCCTATCTTATAATTAAATTACACTTTTATCATTGAAAATGTCCGCTATAGCGAGTGTTCTGGAATCAGGAGTGCCAGCCTAATGTATAGCCATGTTTAATTTTGATATTGCCCAGTTCTTAAATTCATTTGAGATATTAATAGATGAGGTAAAAAATTGCAATTAAGCTATATAAGGCTTTCGCAATTAGTAAAAGCATGTTGACATCATCCTTGAAATCAGATGCTAAAAGTGTAACCGGCTGTAAGGATTGCTTTTATATGTTTGTAGTGTTCATGTGGGTTTTAGTCTTACATTTTTATTTGTTTGTAATCAAAAAATGTTGGTTCAATTTTACCCATCAAAGTTTAAGAAACCAGGATATTTACATTGTGTTTTATTATAAATGTTTTAATTTACATTTTCTGGTTTAATAAAACAAAATTTAGATATTTAAATTATTTAATAGTCTTAAAATAAAATCAGCATTTTTTTTGTTTGCTTAAACCTATAAGTATTTTTTTATTTCTGTGCTTATGCTTTTTNTTTTTTTTTTTTTTTTTTTTTTTTTTTTTTTTTTTTTTTTTTTTGTATGGTGAAAATTAATAGCAGAAGTAAATGCTTCAGTTCTATGATTTTACTCATTAAATAACACAAGTTTTCAATCTATTTTATCTTTAGCTTTCCTGCATTTGAATTACTTGCATTGTAAATGCAGTCATTGATGTAACTAGCTAATTGCTAGGGTTGACCAGGACCAAATTTGAATGGCTACAGTAGAATTATTTGATTTCTAGACAATAAAATTTACAAAAGAATGATTTCAAAAAACTGTAAAAAATATTTAATTAAAAGATTGTTATAAAAAGATTAAATAATTTTATAATTCTGTTTTTGCAATTTTTTTTATTATTTATTTATGAATTAGTGATTTTATTAAGATTTAAAAAAAAGAAGTTTTAAAGGAAGTCCGGGTCCTTGAAGTACTATAACAAAGATTATTTTATCTGTGGCAGTCACTGTATTTTGAAATTGTAAAAGAATCTTCCCTTCCAGTTATGGATGTGTTATTACATGAAACGTTTTTTTCTTTTTTAGAATTGTGTCCAAAGAAGAATGACACAGATAACTATTTGAACATGAAATCTCATGTGGAAGACTTGCCTGAACCTTTTCCTGATTTATTTAGCGTACTTACTGAAGAAAAAGATAGCAGATTGAGATGGATATCTTATACTTACCCAGTTGAGATATCTTTCATAACCCTTGACAAAGAAATAAAGTTTCAAGGTGGTGTATTATATATACTGTTTATTCATGGTGTATAAGTTGACTTTTCAAACCGCTAAAATTTTACAAAAATCAGTGGGTCGCTTATACATTGGTAATGAAGTCAAATATTCGGTGGTCTGAAATATGATGCATATATAGATATGAATAACTGTATCCCTTTATTTTATTTATTATTCAATCTATCCCTTTCAAAAACTATTTGTAGTATATTGTGTACAACAATTAATTTTGCATTTTCTCTCATCATATTTTCTTTTCATTTAAGGTTTTCTTTAGAAACAATACTTCAAATTATGTTCAGGAAAAAGAAATTAAGAATAAGAAAAATTAAGATAGTTTATGAGTATTTCAAAAAATAAGGCTACAAATTATAAGATTCCATAATATCTTCTGTGACGTATTCAATAACATTAGTAGTACTGTTATACGTACAGATCCCACTATTCAATAGATTTTACTGCATTTTTGTCTACTGAGTCCAATAAAAAATTGACTTCTGTTCCCTTAAACAAATTTAAAATTCTTCTATTTTTTAAAAGATTTCACAATAATATTTGAATCTAAATTTTGCCCCAATTCTAGTAACTTTATTTGAGGGCAAAAGTACAATGTCCAAAGCTAACAAATAAAATATTTTTGACTTCCAAATATTTTGCAGAATAATATTTTTTTATGTATTTAAATTTTAAAAATTTTCATACTTGGTTTTTTTCAATGGTCAACTTATACCAAAAATTTGCTATCTTTTAATCAAAAGTAATGAGTTGACTTATACACTGGGATATGCAGTATTTCTCTGATTATTTTATGTTGTTTCATTATTTATTAAGTAATGTATTAATAATTGTTTGTGTTCTTTATTTTAGTGTTTAATTTTTCTTTCAATATAAATTTATTGAACTTATCTCTTGTCACTAAAACTGTTAATAAAAAGCTTGAAATATCTCTTTAAATAAGATTTTTCTTAGAAAAATATATAGTCTTCAATATAAAAAGATGAAAAAAGAATAGTTATTTTTGTTTATTTCTATATTTTAAGCAATCAAAACTAACTTATGCATCAATTCTCATTTGTGTGAAGTAACATTTTTTTATTGTACTTTTAAATTATATTCATTCAAGTCAAACTCATTTTTAAAATATAATTAGTTGTATATTTTCATTGCATGTATTAGCATATTTATGAAATGTTATTTATGTTTGATAATAGTTAAAATGTTCCATCTATATATACTTAAAAATTAACACAAAGTTATAACTAAATGTGATGTTTTATCGTAAGAAACACCAATAGTATAGTTAACATTTTTGTTTAAAACTGCTATATTTTTAAAAGCTGATCTTTATGTTTATGTTGATATTAAAAGCTAATCTTTATGCCTCTGTCATATTAATGAATAATTCAAAATTATGAATTCCAGAGTTCTCTCTAGGAATAAAAAAGAGCAGGGTGCTTTCTCACAGAAAATGATACTTTTGAGTTCCCTAAAAAACCCTAAAAAATCCCTAAAAAATTATCAAAACGCGTAATATTATGTAATAACTGCATTTGATCCTCAACAATTTTTAAACTACCCTTTTATGTTATTTTATGTGTGTATTTCAGAAAAGTAATTCTCACTCATTATCAAAATAAGAGAAAAATTTATCAGTTCTAAAAAATATTTAAAGGTATGCTAACAGACAATCACTGTGTGAAAAGTTTTTTCAAAATAAGTAAACTAAAAAAAAAAATGATTAATGTATTATTAACTTGAAAGCTTTTTTCTATGAAATTTAAATTGAAAATTGTGAGAGAATGAATGTGAGTTTAAAAATGTATTATTTAAAAAAATAATTTTAAATTTAAAGTAACGTAAAAAATTAATTAATTTACACCCCTTCCCCCGAAAAAGAGATGTATATAAATAAACAGTTTAGGATAACCCTAACAAAATAAATATTTGTAATATGAATCAGAATTAAACCTATAAACATGGATAATTTTACCACTGTGAAATCATTATTTAAACTGTGAATTAATTTTTTTAAAAAATAGAATATGAATAAAAAGGTTGTGTTTTTAAGGAATGGAGGTTTGTTTTTAATAAAAGGGCAAAGAGGACTCATCAAATGCAGGCAGGGCAAGGGGCCCTTCTAAAAACATTTAGGGGGAACACTAGAATTCTAATTCTTGGACAGATAAAAATTTATCAAGTCAATATACTAATTCAAAATTTCAGCTTTAATTTTAAAGTAATAGTTTTCATTATTCAATGTTTAACTCCTTTTTTTTTAAATTCAAAATATTTTTATTCCAACCTCCGTGAATATGTTTGATCAACTTAAATATGGAAATTTAATATGATGCAATTAAAAATTTAGTATTATGATATTCTCTTGAGACTGTAGCTTAATGGAATCTTTGTTTTTCTCTTTATATAAAATATTTATTTATTATTCTTTTACCCATAGCTAAAAGTACAGAATCAAGCAATGGTGTAGATGCAGTGGAACCTTCCATAAATTGTACTGTAGCCTTTATGTCGCAATGCATGTCTTGGAACAAGTGTAAAAATGCTTGCTCATCTATGGGTGCTTCAAGTTATCGCTGGTTTCATGATGGTTGCTGTGAATGTGTTGGTTCAACCTGTATCAATTATGGAATAAATGAAAACAGGTATATATTAATCTTGGAAACAAAAACAAAAAAAGCTCTCTGAGTGTAAATTTTCATTTTTTAAAAAGGAAAAATTTCTGTCTATGGTGTATTTGAAGTTCTGAGAATATTTTTGAAATTTATTATTTTATAGTCATAAGAACTATTCACACAGTTTTGATTACAAATTTTATCTAAAAAGAAGCAAACGTTAGAAAATTATATTTCATAATGTTATTTGTAATATATGCATTAAATCCTTTATTTATTTATTATTATTTTTTAAGAAATGCAAGCATTTTCTGTATTTTACTGTAAGGCAACTTTTTACCCAATCTTCAAAAGACCATAAAAAAAGATAAAATTAAGTGACATAACTCTTTTTATGCCAAAAGTTATGCACAAGCAAGATTATTTTTAAATTTAATGGTCATGCATCTACAAGAAACATATATTTATTCAATTTTTAAGAAATAGAAGCATTTTTGAACTTTACTGTAAGGGTAATTTTTCTCCAATCTTAGAGACCATAAAAATAAAGAAGAGAAGATTAAGTAACATGAATATTTTCGAACATATTTGTTATGATTGACAGATTTAAGCATCTGTCATGTTAATAAACAATCTTTCAAGTCTGCTCTTTGAATAATGTTCCCAATTTCATCCCAAGAGAATGTAGGATAGGCCTGGTTTTAATTGAAACCCTTAATGATCTAGAAGGTTTGGCATTTGATGGTCATAATGGAAAAGCCACCCCCTTCAAATCAATCCATTAATCTTTCAATGATGTTGTTCAAATGAATCTAGAGCAGCAAGAAAGCAATGTTTGACTCACATTGTTAGTGGATGGAAAAATTGACATTTGAAAGCCAGGGGCTCCTCACTAATCTGAAAGTTTCTTAGAACAATCTGCATTAATTTGTATATTAAAAAAAAGGACATTTCTTAATTTTGTTACATTATTTGAACGATAATTTTCTCAGTGTGTAAAATTATGCTTAAAAGTTTGAGATCTGCTGCTGTTTGATAATAAAAGATACTTTTAAATTTTAAAAAAGTGCTGAATATAAAATATTTGATTTTATGTGCATTATAAAAAGATTTGGGTTTCTTTAATTTGAGACCTTACTTAGTGATAAGCAATATTAATATTATACTTATTAAAAGATAATTTTGTATGGATAATTTTGTAATTTGATAAATTTAAATACAAACATGTTCCATTTTATGAACATGCAGCAAGACAAAAATATAAATAATCAAAACTGATAGAACAAGGCAGGTATGTCTGCTTTCACAGATGTATAATTTTCAATCTCTTTACTTTGTTCAATATTTTCAGTATATTTTCGTGTGCTAATATTTCTATTAACATTTCAGAATTTGTTGAAGAATTAACCTCCCCATGCTATTTCAGTATTTTTTATTCTGAGTCACTTGTTTGTCAAGAAAGTCATTAATTGCCACCCATTTTTAGTTCCTTGTCCATAAATTAAATTACTCAATATGACTATCATGATAACTTTGAATCTTTTTGTTTTTGTTTTGTTCACAATACTAATTTTTAAATTTATGATCTCAATTTTATGCTGCTATTGTATAGTATATGAGAAAATATTTCATCTTGTTGTCTTCTTCATCTTTCATTTCTATCTGTTGCTAACATTACCTCTTATTTTTATTCATATTGTTCCAATGAAAAATATGTTTGAGTGCTGGAAATACTTTTATTAAAGAGTAAAGTACATATTGAAGTTTTTTTTTTCAATTGAATTAATTTATCTTATTTGTTTTGAAGTTGTTCATGACCTTAATCTACAATTTCTCTGCACTTATCTTATAATAGGTGTTTGGATTGTCCTCTGGACAAAGACCAGATGACTGTTGAAGAATTGAATGTTATATCTAAAGATTCAGTCAAAATGGAGGATGAACTCACTGAAGAAACTGACAAATCAAGTGTTGAATCAAAAAATGAAGAGGATTTTGACGAAATTCAAAATGTTGATTCTTAGCCTATTAATATTTGTTTTTTGAGCTAATCAAAAATACGTCCATTTTAGAATGTTGTTGCATTTATTTATATTTTTACTAGATGCCAATTTTATATGTATGTATATTTCTTGAATAAATATTTTTTTAACTTTGTAACCCAGTTTAAAACTTTTTTGCTGCTCATGTTTAAAATTTTTAATGAGGTTTTTAGTTAATTTATTAATAAGTTCTTTATGTAAACTTTTGTTATTTTGATAGCAACATAGCTAATTAAAATCTTTCACAATTTCGTAATAAATAAAGTTTTTTGTTTAAAAAAAGGAACATTTAAAGCTTATATTATTTATCAATGTTTCAAGCAAAGGCTTTTTAATAAGAATCAACTAAAAATAACTTTTCGTGTTTTTTTATTTTTGAGTACTACATTTTATGTAATAAAATTCTGCCTGAAGGAGCAATGTTAGAATCTAGAGAGAAAAAATGCAAAATTATTTGAACGTTTTGTTTGAGTGTTGTGTAATTTTCAAAACGTCAAATCAATCATACTTCCTCCGGAAACAAGCAAGTTTCTTCTTTTTATGTAAGGAAAGCATTTTTTTCTTTGTTTTCTTTAAATTATTTGTTAGATTCTTTTTTAAATTTAGTTTAATCAAATTATTAATTTACAGTTAGGAGAAAAAAATATTAGTTTCAAATGACATGGTCTTAAAAACATAAATAGTGTAACAACAAATGAAGTGGAAGACTATAACAAAACTGTTGTTTATGGAAACTGTTGTGTTATATGAGACATGTACAGATACTATGTTTCATCTTCCAAAATCTGAGTAAAAGTTAAAAATTTGATGTCTGAGTAACACAAGTAAAGATCGCCGCTATCTTAATTCTGCAGAAAAAAGAAGTGTGATAAACCAAGTACTTCGTGAATAAATCATGAATAAAGTATTAATAAGTGCGTATAAATTTACATATTTTTTTGTTCTATAAGCAACAACCTTTCTCAAGGTTGATACATGCAATGAGAAAAAGATTTTCTGTGCTTTAAAACCAAGGCAAATTCTTATTTAGAATTAAAACTAGTTTTTGTATCTTTATTTATGTCGTTTAGCTTTACTTATATCTTGAAAAATTCCCTTTCATTTCAATACCAAGTAGTATATTGTTTAAAAATATAGCCAATGTATTTAAATAGAAAAGTAATTTCATATATAAAGCAGTGATACACGAAAATTATTTTTTTTAAGCTATTTTAATTTAAACTAGATCATAGATACTTGGTACATAAATGGTTTTAGGTTTACAGAATGTAGTCATTATTTGATAAATAATGAAAAGTAGATTCTGAAATGTTAATTTTTAGGCATTCAATTCTTAACAAAGTTTTCTTCTCGATAATGCTAATATCTAAATACTTTTGGTAAATTTAACACCAATGATAATTTTTTTATGATTAGAAAAGATTGGGATAATTTTATAAGAAAAGGTGTCCTACAGTTCAAAATTAACTCAAAACCGAAATATAAATAAAATGTTTGTTTTTAAATTTTTATTTTTCGTTTATTAAATCTTTTGATTGATAAGTTAATTATTTTTTTAAAAATTAAATAATGCATGTAAAGAAGTTTTATTTTTTTCCCCATGCCCACCTGATTAACACTCCTTATTTAGGTATCAATAAGATAGATTTGTTGGTCACTTACTCAGGGGCACCATAATGGGTGGGCCAACGTTGCACTCAGGACAGATAGCACAGAGAATGAAAAAACATCCATGCTTTGCCCGAGATTCGAACCCAGGACCTTCCTTTTGTGAGGTCAGCTGCCTAGCCGCAACTAGTGGCATTTAAAAAAAAAAATATTTACTTTATGCAAAAAGCGAATCAAGAAAATGATAAAATATTTCTGACCATTTGCACCAAACTGAGTATCTGAAAACATAAAAAAAAACTAAACTATTATTTGGCTTATTAACATTGTGTCATCAATTCAAAATTGTTGTTGAGTTTCAGTTCAACTAGATGTCAAAAATAATCCAAAAATTCGATTTCTTGGTACTTAATATGATTTGCGTTAAGTATATCATGTTATGTTTCCCAAAGATAAATATTAATTATCTTCAGAAAATATCTACTTTTGTGTAATAAATATTAAATATCCACAAAGAAGAAACTTAAGAAAGCAATGTGTATGAGGACATTTCACTTTATCAACTTCATTTAATTCGAAATCATCTTAAAATATCCAGTTTAAGCACCCTATATCCAGTGTACTCGTCAACTCATGTCCGGTTTCGGCACGATGTGAAATAATAAATTATCGCACGCCTCATTTCCAAAGGTTTAATTTTAAATTAAATGATTATCAGTGGATTTCCAAATGAAACTAGGGTTGAATTCTGGGATAATCGACATTTTGAACCCAAAACTTGCGCTACGATTTCTTTCACAAGAGAAAACCACGTCTCTCTGACGCCAACTCTATCTGCAACTCAGTTCATACTTCATAGAGTAAACTAAGTTAAATGTTCATCAAATATGATATGATTTAAAGACTGATAGTTAAAAAAAAATGATGGCAAATAAAATTAGAAAAAAAATTTGCAAGGCTGCTGACTCTTTTAAAGTTGACTACATTAAGCCAACCAAAAGATATTTATTTGAAATTTTCAAATGTTCTTTGGCAACGAATTTTTTCATCCGGGGCTCGACGCGTGTACGACGACTTACCGTCGGCTAGGAGGTCGTATCGGTCAAATTGAAAACATAACTCTTCAAATTTATTTACAGATTACTGAATTCTCAAACATCGTCCAAAATGTATCGAGCATTTGGTCGAGCTTCTTCTGTGCTACTTAAAGTAGCTAAACCTTCAATATCTATCTCTAAAATAGCTGGAGAAGGATCTAAATTTTTACCTTGTTTGTGGTCCACATGTAAGTTTTAAACCGGTCAAAATATAAGATTATTGTTTTGATTATTCTTAATTAAATTAAAGTGATATTCTGTTGATATCATGAATCAAATAGTTTCCTTTTTGTTAATATATATGTTCTTTTACATCCGTTACTAACATTCCATAAAATATCAATTACGGGGTGTTTATCAGAATCTTGGGTTACTAATCGTTTTGAAACGCACATGACTTGATGATATTTTAACTAAAGTTAAGACTCGTTGAATTCTCTGTGCACTCTCAGAAATTGACAAAACTTTTTTGGGATTTGTTTGCTCAACTTTAAAAAATTTGTTTAAAATTTTTAATTTTCTCAAGATTTAAAATTTTTGTTATATGCTAAATTAAAAAATGAATATTGTTCATGATAATAATGAAAAGAAACAATTGTGATCTATAAAGCTATATTAAAATGTATTTTATCCTTTAAAAATTAACCTTTTGTCTTCCTCAGTCTACATGTACTTTTTATAATATATTTAGCTTTATTAAATTCTCAAATTAGTTAAAATATAAGGTTTATGGTTTGAAGAACTTGAGTATTCAGTTTAAGTAACTTACAGGTTATGAATATTTTTTGTTAAATATTAATTTATTAAATAGTTTCAAAATAAAATGAACACTGGTTTAATTAAATGGCCAAAATTAAGCTGATTTAGCATGACTGCAAATGTGTTCACAAACATTGAATGAAATATTATTCTTTAAAATTAGATTATGGAACCTTTTAAAAACCTTTATTAATGAAACTTATTGTTTAAATTATAATTAAAATACAATACAAATACAAATGATAAAATATTCACCGCTTTTTCTTTAACTGTAAAACCATTTTTAATCTTTCAATTGTTATTTATATTTTTATTCCAATAGCAAACAGTGAGACTAATTAAATTCTGGTTTAAACTTTGAACACAGTTATTTGCACTGTTATAAAAACTTATAAAATAAGTACATTTTATTTTTGTGTTCCGTAGGAAACGATAAATCCATATTTTTGTGTTGATTTTTAATAAAATTCTTAATTTTCACTAATTATGTCTAAATTTTCACAAAATGGGTACCTTTCAGAAAAACCTAGAGAGGCCCCTGATATTTGTATTAAGTTAAAATACTTCGTCTAACTTCTTTCAAGTTTCAACTGGCAAGTTTCTTCTACAATTTGTAAAATTATTCCATTAGAAACAGGTTTCTTCTCACCTAAGTGGAAAAAGCTTTTTCAAAAAGAAATGTTCAGTATTAAAATGTTTTTTTTTAAACTTGCAGTTGAATTTGTTATTCATTCTAATTATTTTTTAGTTTTCATGTATCTTACATATGAAATAACTTAGGATTTAATAATATTAATTCCTAAGTTATTTAATATGTAAGATACATGAAAACTAAAAAATAGAATGAATAACATATTCAATGATTTTAAATTAAAATAACCATAGTTGATCAATTTTCGTAAATGAGTACTGTAAGAACTAAATTTACAAGTGCATAAAAATCAAATCAAATTTTATTAATAGTACTACTAAATTTTCTAATCACATACTAACCATATACTTTTAATAATTAAATACTATTAAGTTTGACTAGTCAGACTTTAATATGATTTATAATTTAAAATTCGATATTAAACTTAAAAATAAGTAATTTAAAAAAAAATTTCATTAGAAACATATAATTTTTTGTACTATATTAAATTTAGTTTGATTAAACTATTTTAATATTTATATCATAATAGTTATTTCTTGGTTTTTCTGTTTCATCTAATCATTCTTATTATCTGTCCAACTTCTTCCAGTGTCCTGTAGGAAGATTTCTTCCGGATAAAATGCTAGTCCTGTTTTAATATGATCTTATAACATTGAGTTACTTTCTATTTTTAAAAGAAAAATTGAAAATCTTATTAGATTTCCACTATTCTTATTGAATAAATGGAATAAAATAATTCTTAGTTTATGATAAATATAATAAAATACCTTATTTTTAGCTAATCAAAACTATGCATCAGCGGCAGCTGCTACACGATCGAAGGGAAAAATTGTTGCAGTCATTGGTGCTGTTGTTGATGTTCAATTCGATGAAAACTTGCCACCTATTTTAAATGCTTTAGAAGTAGAAGGACGAAAGCCTAGATTGATTTTGGAAGTAGCTCAACATTTAGGTATTTATTTTCCCATCAGGTTCAATTTCTATTCAAATTTAAAAGCTCTTATGAATAATAAAAACGTAAGGCTAAGCTATAATAGTGTTATGAATATATTATGCAGTAATTATTTTTTTAACGAAAATCTGCTAAAAAATTTATTCATTTCATTGACTTTTAAAAATATGTAAATTTAGTCACCTTTAATTTTATATTTTTTTAACAAGTGCTTTTTCTTTTTTAATATTTTTTAATGAACTTTTTTACTTTAAAATATTTTGTTTTAATATCTGATCTTAAATTCAGTAACGAAAACTGGCTCGTTTTAAGTTTTTCCAGCAATACCAATATTATGTCATTGAAATTTTATGTATATTGTTAATATTTGTTTTATTGTTCAACATTTTTAACTTTGATTAAGTAGCTTTAAAGAAGTGAATTTTGTGAATGGGGTTAAATAACACGAAAAGTGCACAAATAATGCTACTTGGGCAATTTCACCTTTTATGAATATTGTATTTATCGATTTTAAGAGTATATAACTAAGTTAAAAATTTGAAGTAGTTTTAATAATTTTTGGGAAAGCAATCATTTACGCTTATTCGAATTTTTGGTAACTTTCATTAGTTTAAAAAAAATTCAAAACTAGATATTATAGACATAACATATCATGTTCTGCCCATAACAGCTAGATTTATTTTTAAAAACCAATTTAAATTTCTAAAATCTGGAGTAAATTTTTATGACAAAGACTTTTTTTTCACAGAAGTTAGTAGAATTACTATTCGAATTTATGTGCATTATATGCTTTTAAAGTTTGCAATTACAATATTTGTAAACAGTGGTATTTTACACTATGGTTTCTATTTACAAATGCAGTTTTTAAGAGTTTAATGATTTAGAAACAGTCTGTTAATCTGTGTTTTTACACCACAGATTAACTTTGTGTTACCACAGTTTCCACACAATAGATGACCTTCTGTTTTTGCTCAACATTTAAGGGATTTAATTATATGATCTAAAATTATATAGTATGTCTGTTTATAAGACTTAATTTGTACTTTGCACTCCTACCATTATTCATTAGTTCATTTCACACCTACCATTATTCATTAGTTTAAAGTTAATTTTTTTTTACTTGGCCAGTAAACCATGTGTTATGTAAAATATGAGTGGTTAGGCAATGTTGAAGATAATTAGGAACAATTTATGTGTCAATATTTATATCTATATTTTTAGGTGCATCATATTTTCTATATCTTTTATTCTTGAGATATAAAATACAATAATCTCATTTAATGTAATGAATGAATGGAAATTTTAGGAGAGAGCACAGTTCGTACAATTGCTATGGATGGTACTGAAGGGTTAGTACGTGGCCAAGTTGTTTTAGATACAAATTCACCAATCAAAATTCCTGTTGGACCTGAAACTTTAGGAAGAATTATAAATGTTATTGGTGAACCTATTGATGAAAGAGGCCCTGTAGTTACTGACAAATATGCAGCTATCCATGCAGAAGCACCAGAATTCGTTGACATGAGTGTAGAGCAAGAAATTTTAGTAACTGGTATTAAAGTTGTAGACTTGCTAGCTCCATATTCAAAGGGAGGAAAAATTGGTAAGCATATAATTTTGTATAAATTTAATTTGACTGAGTTATCAAAACTCGTGTTTTTTTTTTTCTTTTTTTTTTAAAGGAAAAAACCAATTTATGTANCAAATATGCAGCTATCCATGCAGAAGCACCAGAATTCGTTGACATGAGTGTAGAGCAAGAAATTTTAGTAACTGGTATTAAAGTTGTAGACTTGCTAGCTCCATATTCAAAAGGAGGAAAAATTGGTAAGCATATAATTTTGTATAAATTTAATTTGACTGAGTTATCAAAACTCGTGTTTTTTTTTTAAAAAGAAAAAACCAATTTATGTAATTTAAATTGAATTTTGGATTTTCTCGGTTTAAATCAGAATTTGTTTTTGTTTTTTTTTTTAAATTTTCTTTTTTTTTTATTTGGTTACTAAATAATCTAATAAGATGTATGAATGATACTTAATAGTATTTAAAAACACTGTGGCTAAAATAGTAAATATTACTAGCTGAATGTTTAACATTTGTTTTTTTAATTTTTGCAATCTCATCACTGAATAAATAAAATAATTTTTGTTCCAGCTTAACATCCCAACATTTCAAAGACATTTATATCTAAATAATCTTGAAACTAAATGAGTATTGTTGTAATATGTTCGTTACTAGAAACTTATTTTACATACCGCTAATGGAAAAAATTATAATTTGAAAGTTTCTTCCCACATTGAGTTTATTTTTTTATTTTTATTTGTCTGTTTGAGAAAAAAATATACATACATTCCCATTTCATTATTTCTTTGAAAAAAAAATAATAAAAAGATTTGAGTATCAATGTAATCAGACTTGTTTTTAAAACCACAATCTAATGAATAAATTTATAAATAACTTTGTATAAAAATATTTCTGTCTTGCACATTTATTTTAAAGAAAATAAATTGTTTTAAATAATTTTTTTAAAAAATAAAATTGATATTTTAATTAATTATGCCTACTCTGTATATTATTTTTATATGTTAAAGTTCATATTAAATTTCTTGATTAAAGAATATCTTTTGAATAGTACAAGAAAGTATCATCTTTTGAAAATCAAGCACTTCCTTTCATCAAGAGAATTGAATAGTTATTTTTCTTTAAAGAAAAAGTTACAACTGAAATGTAAAACTTTTGGTACATGTCTAATCAGTTCTTTCATTTATTGAGCTTTTATTTAATGACTTAACTATTGTTATGTAAGACTGATTTTTAAAGCTCTGTCTGATATTAAGGCTTTTAGTAAACAATTAGCTAATTTCATAATTGTGAGTTTCATATAGGTTGTGACTTTTAGGTTATATTATGCCTATTTTTATCAAGCTAGTTCTGCAAATTGTCAATGTGATGAAAAGCCTAAGTTTTATGAAAACTAAAAACAATTTTGATCTAATTTTTCGCTATTTAAATACACTACTTCACTCACATTTCAATATACAAAATAAGGAGATTTTAATTGAGTTTAATAATTTTGTTTTAGGTGGAAAAATTTTGCAAAATTAGTAATTTCTTATAAAATTAAATATATTTTAAATATTTTAAATATTGATCAATTTTCTTTGCATAAACAATTCTTTATATAAATTAATATATATATATTATGAATGAAATCAGTTTTAATTGTAAGTTTAAGTACTGAAGCAGTAGCTTTTTGAATTTGGCAAAAAGGCTTTGAGAAATTCCTATAACAGATACTGTTAATATTTTTCTTTAAAAAATGCAGATTTAAGAAAAATTTAATTCACTAAAAGTGTTGATGGAATATTTTATGTTATATTTGGATTAAGAAATTCTTAATTTTTAAAGTCAGAAACATGATAGTCAGTTGTAAACATAGACTAATTTGTTTTCCAAGTTTTCAAAACAAAGCCACTTTTAATATAATAAGTTTTTTTTTTTCATTATGCACACGTTTCTGATATTTCAATACATTTTTAAATACCTTCTATTAATGTTAAAAATCTTAATTTCATTAGGTCTGTTTGGGGGTGCCGGTGTCGGCAAAACTGTACTAATTATGGAACTTATCAACAATATTGCTAAAGCTCATGGTGGTTACTCTGTATTTGCTGGAGTTGGAGAACGAACCAGAGAAGGTAACGATTTGTACCATGAAATGATTGAAGGTGGTGTCATAAGTTTAAAAGATAAAACTTCAAAAGTAAGTGATATAAATGGTCATTCAGTCTTGTAATTTTATAATTATTTTTACTGAATTCTGTAATTATCTAAATGGGAAAGGTTTCAGAAGATTCGTATCTTTTAACATATTCAGAAATTTAGTATAAAGCTATTCAAATACTTTTATTTTAATTTGGTCACAAGATTAAATCATTACTTGAAATAAATTTCATTTTATATGGAGCTTTTTTCAATTTTAAATTTAAATGGCTAAATTAAAATTTGTCTTTTAAAAATTTAATTTTGATTTAAAATTCATAGATTTTAAACATTTTCTGTTTTTGTCATAGTTTTCACAATTTATCATTTGTCTTGTATTAAGTATTTATATCAATTTAAGTGTTAGAAATAAAAGTGATTAAAATAATGAATAATAAAAAAGTATGTCAAAATTTACGAATGTAAAATACATTTCTTTATAAAAATTTATTAAATTTATATTTTTAAAAGTATATATTGTATACTTGTATTGTTTTATCTATATACACACACCTAAGGTAAAATTTTATGGTTTTAAATTTCAATGTGATTGTTAACTTTTTGGTCTGAAAGTGATTACGTTTTTAAATTCAACAAACAATAGTTTTTATGTTTAATTTTTAAATTACACAATTATTTGTTTTGAAAATATGTATAATACCCAATGAAAAAGGTGTTTAAAGATTTTAGTTTTAGACTGCTTGATATATTGAAAAGCTTAATTAGTTGTTAAAACTACATATAAATCAGGAATAAAACATATCTTTCAAACTGTAATTAACCATTTGGGTTTGACTGGTGCTTAAATAAGTTATTGGAATAAGAACCTTTTTTTTATTAAATGTTTTACTTATTGAAAAAATTTTATGAATAAATTCATTAAATATTAATCTTTCAAATACTTTTTGTTTAAAACACTTAGTTTTATAGTTTAATTTGTGTGTTTAATGTTAAATTTATTAATTTCAAGTAGCACATTTAAGAAGTATTTTTATCAGAGTGATAAATTCATATTGATTCTTTGCGTAATTTTTATAAAGGTATCCCTTGTATACGGACAAATGAATGAACCTCCTGGCGCTCGTGCTAGAGTTGCTTTAACTGGTCTCACTGTTGCTGAGTATTTCCGTGATGAGGAAGGTCAAGATGTGTTATTGTTTATTGACAACATTTTCAGGTTCACACAAGCTGGCTCAGAAGTAAGTTTCAACTTTAATGTTTTTTTCTGTTCTTATTAATTTATATATTTTTTGGATACTGTTTTTACATTTATTGAAATAATATATGTTCTTTATCATATTCACATGTTTCTAAAACCTAATATCCCTATTTAGTATTCGTGTGAGTTTAAAATCTAATGCCGTTATAAAAATTCATGCATTTGTTATATAAAACATTGGATTTTGTAGTTATGCAATTTTAAAATCTAACATCATGATTTGTATTTTTGCCTTCTTAGAATGCAATATTGTGACTCATATTCTTGCAATTTTAATATTCATTACTGCAATTTTTGTGGTAATTAAGTTTTTTCTTAAAGTTATTATAAAAGTGATATTTTTCATTAGTAGGTAATTTATTATTCTTAGTTTAAAATATTATAATAAACATTTCTAGTATATAAATTAATATCTAGTTATTGCTCATAAAATTTTCAGGATTTTTTTTTTTAAGTTGTCACAATTACCCTTATTTATAGTCTGCTTATAATCATTTATTTCAAAGCATGTATGCAATAGTTAAATTTTTGCACTCTTTTTGATAAGTATTTTTTCCATAGCCTAAATTCTCTTTTTTAGAGTGCTTATTCTTTCAACTTAAACCTTTCTTTTATCTGAAATTTAATCAAACAATTGTCACTTTTAGGTATCTGCTTTGTTGGGTCGTATTCCATCTGCTGTAGGTTATCAACCAACTTTGGCAACTGATATGGGTACCATGCAGGAAAGAATTACCACCACCAAAAAGGGTTCCATTACGTCTGTACAGGTAAGATATTTTTTTAAAAAATTTATAATTGTTTCTCATTAGCATTAATTTTGCTGCTATTATGTTGATTTTTATTGTTTTCTAAATTAATAGATTAAAAGTAAGAATTGTTTCTTTATTATAGCATTTTTCTATGATATTACCTTATTAGTGTCTAAGCCTTAACAGTTTTACAAAAAATTTTCTTTATGAATTATATTATTATGCTATTGTAAGTTACATATAATACTGTTTCCTCCATTCATATTCATTTTTCTATTTATGCTTCTATAGGCTATTTATGTACCTGCTGATGATTTGACAGATCCTGCTCCAGCTACCACATTCGCTCATTTGGATGCCACAACTGTATTATCTCGTGGTATTGCTGAGTTGGGTATTTACCCCGCCGTGGATCCTCTTGATTCAACATCTAGGATTATGGACCCCAACGTTGTGGGTCGAGAACATTACGATGTTGCTCGTGGTGTGCAAAAAATTTTGCAAGTATGTGAAACGAGTTTTGTATTTTATTTTATTCCTTTAAACTTATTCATACTATTTTAAACTTTTTTTATTGTAAAAAATTTGCATAGCTTTAAAGAAAAAAATAGATAAAACACGTGATTTCTGTAAGATAGAGAAATATCATATTTTGTCTCAGGGATGATTTTTTAAAATTATTAATGATTTTTTCTTTAAAATCAAGTGGTTTAAATTGTGCCAAATCTGTTGCAAGCAATAATTTAGATCATATGTTTATAATTTTTTTCGACCCTGAAACCCTTAATCATTTGGCTAAACCCCATTATTCTAAATAAACATGAGCTTAGCCAAGGGGGTTCAGACTCTCTTCCCTACTTAATAAGAAAAATTTCAGTTAAAAATTTACAACTTTTTCCTCCATTTCATTGGGGGGAAAAGAATGTCCCAAATTGAAGTTTGAATAAAGTGAGCCACAGGAAACTGAATTTTTGTCAATAGGCCCTAAGTGTTGCCATCACTTGCTGCAAATTTCTACCCAATAATAAGCAGATTTGATTATTAGAAAAATTGACCACATTTCCTACTACAATGTGTTCTGCATTGAGAAGTTTATGTTAAAAGATGGTCAAAACATATCTGAGGAACAAAATAAGCGAAGATTATCTTTGTTTGTCTATCATGAAATCACTATTGACGAAATACTTGACAAAATGGCTTAATCTAACAGAATTTTATTATAATTTTGTTTTAGATTTCAAGTTACTCTCATCAATGAACTTGCTGCTTGCCTTTTAATATCTTCTAATTCAATCCTATTGTAATCTTTATTTTTTTTCAATATGTTGCTTTTTTTTAATCCTTATTTACTGGAATAATTTAATGAAATCTGCAAGAATATTAGATATTGGATTATTGTTGGAATATAAGTATGATTGCATGCTTCAAAAAGCATTACTTATTGAATACATCCCTAACTTTTTTAAGCCCCAGGGTTTTGCAGATCACCTTTTGTGAACCATTGGTTTAGATAATTCTTACTCTTATAAACAAAAAATGATTCTACCTTTTTATTGTTTTTAAATGTTTTATTTAAAACTGAAAGCATTTTTTTTTTGTAGGATTATAAATCACTTCAAGATATCATTGCTATTTTGGGTATGGATGAGTTGTCTGAAGAAGATAAGCTTACTGTCTCCCGTGCTCGTAAAATCCAAAGGTTTTTGTCTCAACCTTTCCAAGTAGCTGAAGTCTTCACTGGACAAGCAGGAAAATTTGTTCCTTTAGCTGAAACTATTAAGGGATTCCAGAGTATATTAGCAGGTAATTATCATAAACGCAGATAATATACAATATAGCAAAAAAAAATAATCGAAAAGCTTGTTTATGCTATGTTATACATGTATGTATATTTTTTTAAGTACTTTTCCTTATAAAAAGCAGGGCCGCAAATATATATTTAACTTCATCCTCAAAATTATGTTAGTGAATTTTTCTGAACAAATCAATATTTTTATTCGATTACAGTAATTTTTGTTAGATGTGATTAGAATTGGGTTCAAATAATATAAGCCTGAAACAAACTACCTTTAAATAGCTTTCTATGGGGAAAAAAATTATAATCTTTAAAAAATTTTTAAGATTTGCATTTGAAGTCTTGAAAATTGGTGAATACTTTTGATATTTGGCTAATAATTGGAAATCATTAGTGCAGATGAAATTCATCCTTTCCAAAATATGAAAAAAGAGTACAAGGATATTTGGTTACAAGTAGCATAGGGCAAAATCTTATGTAAACAAAATATTATGGGACAGTCTCCTTTGAACAAATACTAAGTGTTTAAAAATAGTATGTTAGCAGTATAATATTTTAATTATGTGTGAAAGGCAAATTCATACAAATTTTCGATGTAGAGTTTTAAAATTATCAAATTACTTGCTTAAAGTAAAAGTTCACTTTATCCCTATTGAACAAATGTACTTATTGAAAGCAGAAATTAAATTTTTTATTTTTATGACTTGATGATTAGCAATTTGTCAAAAAAATTTGATAGTATCTTATTGTTACAATTAAAGAATTTTTTTAAATTTAATTATTTTACTAATATTGAAAGGACACAGTTTTAATGTTTCTCTCCGCTTAACTTAAGTGCACTAATATTACTTATTCAGGTAGCTTTTGTTTTCTTGCATTTTTTTTAATATACTAAGTTATTCTTATTATTGCCTTTTATTGTAGTATCAAATTGAACATGTTTCATGTTCGAATAATTATTTTAATATTTAATTATGACTTATAAAGGAGCTGAATCAGTTTTGCAATAAAATTTACTGCTTCTTGATTATGTCAGTGTTTTAAATTATGTAATATAACCCTTAAATTGTTTTGTTTAATGTTGAACTCAAATTTTTGATAACTTCAACTTATCAAACTTGTTTTTCTGTTCTTGGTTGATAAGTTTTTTTTTAAATTATCAGTTGTTGAAAAATTAGACTTAGTTTAAATTTTTATATTATCTAATTTTTTAAATATGTAACTAGAGTTTTATGTATACTAACTTTAAAAACTCATTGATCAAACTTACTAAAGAAAGCACCAATGCTTTAAAAAATATCTAAGTGCTGGGAATAGATAATAATATAAACTGTTATATATCACGTTAAATTGTTAAAAATAAGTTAGACTTATTCCTCAATATTTGATTTGTTTGTAGCAAAACTTGTTTATTGTTAGAATGGGGATGAAGTTATTTTTTAAAAAGATGTTACTGATACGGTACATAATGCATAGAAAACAACTCATGCTTGAGATTTTTCGTTACTATATTTATTATTTCTCGAGTGCAATCAATAATTTTTTGCACATGGATTCATTAATATCTCAAATTATGATGATAAATTTTAATCACCATGAAGTTTCAGTATTTTTATTTTAATTGGATAGTTTTTTCCTTCTCAATTCACCCTTATATTGTGAAAACAAAATATTTTTTTAATTTGCTTGTGAAACACCCCATATGTAACACAAATAAGCTTATTATGGGTTCAGTTTTTAAAAAAATTATAACATTGATAATTAATAAAATATGCATTTTTGTTTGCAGTCATTAAGTTTGTTTTTAAACTCAGTGGGAAGTTAAAAGTAATTTTTTTTTAGATGTCTTGTTTGTTACAAAACAGTAAAGCGAGTCATTATAAATATGAAGAGAGAGTAATTTCGAATGTCTGTTTGGTTAATGCACTGAACCGTGCTTCGATACCACCATTGGTGGCTGGAAGTTTATCCAGCTTCAAACCGATGGATACCAATTTTACTCGGGAGTAGAGGTGACCTGTTTGCTGTGACGACGACATTGCTACAATCCTGATTTAGGCTATATCCTTATTCTCCATGACCCCACTGGCCCACATAGAGCTATTGCAGGAATACTTTTATTTCCATGTGTGTGATATATAGTCATTAGAAAGAAATTTTAGAATTGAGTTACTGAATGCATTAAAAATAATTTTAAAGTTTTCATAGTGGAAAAAGTTATAATTTATTTTCCACAATATTCTGGACCCTTTGGCACATTAGAGAATGTAGTATATTTTAATATCTGATGTGATTAGTAAAAAATTAAAATGCTACAAAAATTCTATAGTAGTTTTCTCAATTTCATTGCACCGTTGAAAATTCAAAATAAGAAAAATTACTGAAAAGAGGTAAACTTTATTCCCGGTTGGCTTTTACTATTTGCTAATTAGTCTATTTAAAATATTTACTTTCAAGTTTCTGTATTTAAGTGGACATTTTTTTTAATGATTGGTATAATCTTTCTCAGGTGAATATGATCACTTACCAGAAGTTGCATTCTACATGGTAGGACCTATTGAGGAAGTCAAACAAAAAGCTGAGAAGCTTGCTGAAGAAGCGTAAAAATTGTAATTATAGACTGTAGCTTTATTTTCCATCTACAAAATTAAAGAAATTAGATTTTTTCCATTTGAAAAGAATATAATTATGTGGATTAACGTTCATCAGTATAGATCATGCGTAACTGCACTTTTTCAGATGTTTTACTGAATAAAATTTGTATAAAATTTGTTTATTGCTTATTTACAATTTGTTTCTTATTTTCACTATTAATATTCTAATAAATCACCATTCGTTTGCTAAATTAAAATAAAGTATTTATTTCAAACTTGTGTCAAAAATATATTAAATATTTTGTGGTTTACAGTATATTTTTTTTTCCAATGAAAAAGTAGTAAGTAATATTTTTTTTATAATTAAGTAATTTGTACAGTACAGAACCCGTTATCCGGAAATCAGAAAACCGGAAAACCAAAAAACCGGAACGAAATTCGATAAATTTTCCCGCCATTTTTAAAAAAAAAAATTTTTTTTCTTCATAAGATATTAGGATTTTTCTTTCTTTTTTGAAGGATGTTCACCTTACCATCATTTTGGAAATAATCATTAGTATATTACTTCATCGTTTTTCTTTCTTTTTAAGATTATTTCCAAAAAAAAATATTTTTATTTGGGTTTAACAATAAAAAAACGGCTTTTTGTAGCGATTCAGAAAACCGGAAAAATCAGTTATCCGGAATAGCGATGGTCCCGATCGTTCCGGATAATCGGTTCCCTACTGTATTTTCAAAATTTTTGTTTTGTTATGAAAAATAATCTTCTACCCAAAGTAATAGAAAAATGTATTTTGACAGTAATTTTATGAAAGAAAATTTTATGAAGCATCAAAAGTATGCACTTCAATTAAGGCGGAAGAAAACAATGTAATTAATAGAACAAGTTTTTAATTTGTAAATGTTATATAAATAGGTTGTACTCCAAATAAGTTTTTACAGTGTCTTAATTTTTAAGATGAATTGATAGTGTTCTTAAATGGGTTAAACTAAGAAATATTAATTAACATTAGATTATAACTCTTACTCATACAGTTCTTTTCTTCCTTTTTTTTTCTATGGTTCTTTTTCCAAAAAAAGTTTAGCACCTCTATGTACATATCTTATATTCCTTCTGGAACATATTTAAAATAAAACATATTTTAAAGTGAACACACTGTTCACATAATTCTGAAATCATTTTTCAGAATTTATGTTTGTCACCTTGAAAATACTTATGTATTTATTTCTTTTTTGCACAACAGGAATTTTGGGGGACTAGAATAATCATAAATAATCAAGTTGCTTTTTTATAAATATTTAAAAAAAAAAGTACTGGATATTTATCAACTGCAAATTATAGTTCATGTAAATTTCACATGAAACTGTTTTGAAAGTTTTAAATTGGATCTTTTAAAGTAATTTCAAAATTTGAAAAATTATAAATTATAGTATGCATTTTGATTGTTTAATTTTAACTCTTGTGTTGAGTTTCCTATTCTCCACAATGTTATCATTTTATTTATAGTTTCAATTATTTCTTTGGGGAAAAAAATGTTTATCTACAAAATTAAGTTTTTAGAAAAATAGTTGCTGCAAAAGGAAATGAAAGATGAAGTGGTAATAAGATTTGAATGGTATTTGCTCCAAAAAGTTTTTGAATTCTATTATATTGTAATGATTTGCAACAAGCCAAATGAATGAACTTAGTTTCTGTTGCTAAACTGTTCAAGCTTGAGGAATGATTGAACAGGGATTCAATCAAGCTTGAATCCTGTCTGTGTGGAATGATTTTATGTTTTAGAACAGCTGAGAGATATGCAGAGATTCCCCCCCCCTTTGTGTAGAAGAAAAATGCCAAGTAATAGTTCCCGTGCAATTTCAGATTGATCTATTTTAAAATACTTAATTTTATATAAAAATTTGATTACCTAATCATATATTTACTTAATGCTTACACTGAGGAAAGTAACTCTACATTAAGTACAGATGTGACTGTTTTGATCTTAGTATTATCGTAAGAATTCACAGCTGCAAGTTGATGGAGGGACTTGGTTTCTGTTGGTTACCAAAAAGATGAAAGCATTCGAGAGTGAGAAATAAAACAATGTGTGGAATAGTTTTTTTTTTGTTGAGGAACAGTCAACAGCTGGTGCTGAGGTTTTTAAAAAAAAAAAATTATTTTTTGAAATAGAATAGTCTGAAACTTATCCATTCCTTCTATTGTCAAGCTTGAAACGATCCCTTTCATCTTTTTGCTAACCAGCAGAATCGTTGTTTAGTTAGCTAAAAGTGAATCCGTTTGATTATTCATAACAAAATCCCAGTTTCTTAAATTCTTTTTAATTTAAATGTTTTTATGACTCAATTGAGAACTATATTTGTTACCATCTCCTGTTCATCTGTATATTCTCAAATTTCTTCATTTGTTGAAGAAATTTAAAAAAAAAAAATTGTAGATAAAATGCTCACTGAAGGCAAAAAGACTTCTCTTCCATAACAGATAGTGCGGCCAATACTGCAGTATCTTGAGTGTTTATAGTTTAAGTACCTCTTCCTTAAAGGATAACCGTGGGAAGTTCTCCTCTCCATGCGTTCGCAAATGTAGTTTGCTTCCATCAAAAAGTCCTCCACAAGGGCAAATTTCTCCCAATACTTGCTATAAAAAGTCCCTTGTCTTATGGATTAGGTTCACGATTATGTAGTTAAGCATAGGCAGCCGTAAACCCAAAAATTGGGTCGACTGTTCAATAATAGTTATGGAATTTAAAGTACTTATTAATCATGGTTTTAAAATCCTTCTTTAGATTAATATATATGTATTTTACTTCGCTAAATGTAAGTGCTTATATTTCCTATTCTGAATTTCCCTTTCTGACTTTCATGATTATGCATGATGTATACACTTTAAACGTAGCCTAAAAAAGGTCGCTAGTAAAATCACTTATTAAATTTCTCCTATGTTGGCAGGTATGGTATAGATCAGGGGTGACGATCCTTTATACATCAACGTGCTCTTTTTCTAAAAAAATTTTTTAATGAGGTCATAGACGTGCTGTCAAATAATTTTGATTTCGTGATTATAGGGAAAATAATACTAAACACCTTAAAAACATCAACATCATCAACAAAACATCATAAAAATTATCAACTCAAAACTCTTTATTTACATTGAAATAAAATACATTTTGCAATGTCTCAGTTATACGCATAATTCAACTTAAAGTAACATCAGAGTAACTTCTGTTGTTGCAGATTAGATGACAAATAACTTATATTAGGTTGTAAGATGTTAGTTTAAGCAGAACTCTTAAATTATTTTTGCTAGTTATTTATTGTTAGCTTGTTTATGGTTGTTTTTTTTAGCATTAATTGTTAATTTTTTTTATTAATAATTGCTTATTATTTTGTTTGTTTTTCGTGAATTTTAATTTAATTGTTACATATGCTTCAATTGTGATAGGTGGCGTACCCAAAATATTGTGTCGCGTGCCATTGGTTCACCATCCCTGGTATAGATTGTAGTATTAAATTATTATAAAAATCATTAGCCTTCGTGTAATTTTAAGAAAATATAAACTTATTCTAATAGATCATGAACTACTTTTTACTACATGGACTTTGTACTACCACAAAGTTTATGTAGTTCATGATTGTTATGGTACTATCATGAACCTTACCCACTAGATGTTTTCTGTTAAAAACTACCCCTTGATAATATTTCTGCGAGATTTTTATCTTTCTTTCTAGTGAGGGGGTGGTGGTTAAAATGAGCAAAAATAAATTTGTGAAAAAAAGATATTTATTAGTTTTTTTAAATATGTTCTGTAAAGTTACTGGATTTGTATTTTAACAGATTGTTATTTTCAAAAATAATGAAAAATAAAAAAGGGAAAATATATTAGGTATAATAATATATTTACACAGTTTGAAAAAAATTAAATTGTTTTCTTTAAGATGGGGTTAGGAAAACAAGGATTAGAGAAATGCTGATTTACATTAAAAAATTAACTTTACATTTGTTTGCTGCCCAAAAAGTATAAGACTTGGAAGCTTGTAATTTCAAAGCTGTGTAGAAAATTGTATAGGGAGTCAGATAAAAAAAATTTAAATTCGATGTTTAGTTCTAGAATTATTAACTATTAAACGTATGTAGAAAATTAACAATCGATTTTTTGTTCTAGAATTATTGACTATTAAACTTGTAAAAAAAAAAGAAGCCATGCTGGCCGATCTGCAGTCTGCTGAAATGTAATTACCTAGTCGAAATTTGACCAGAGTTTTTTTAAGAAATTACAATTTTAAGTGTTTTTTTTCCTCACTTTTGCCTTAAATGTTATTCATTTTTGTAGAAAAATATATTGATCTCTTTTCAGTTCTTTATTTTATAAACTCGTGCTTGAGTTTATATTAATAGTAAGGAAAAGAAAGTGTGTTTTTTGTTTCTTATGTGTGTCTTTACTATTATATTCATCTTCATTTTATTTATTAATTCTAATATGGATGTTAGAATCTACGGATATTAAAAGCATCTCATAATCATCTCAATTTTAAATTAAGGGCATTAATAACACAAAATAAGAGTATCACCCCTAGGTTAAAAATCCTTTACTCGTAAGCTTTTTTAAAACAAAAGCTTTAAACAAAATGGTTGTATATTAAACGAAAAATATCATAAAGCTTAAAATTTATTAATTAAAAAAAAATATAAACTCAAGCAATGAAACTTTTTTACATTAAAAAGCAATATTGAAAATTTGTATACGAAAATTTCACCCATTTTTATGCTTTGCATAATACGATTTGTCTTTGAATTTCAATTTTTCTTTTTACGAAATGTTATCAAATGAAAATGGGAGAACTGCCTACTAATTATGAAATTAATGAATAAAAGTAATTTTTTAAATATATTAGTGTTCTCTCTCTACAATGTATTTTTTATTTAAAAAAGTTTATAAATATTGAATTTAAAGCTGCCAAAAGTTTACAAAAAAAAAATCCTTCCCCTCAGACATAAATAAACTAGCTTCAAAACTTCAAATTAATATTATTTAAAAAAAAAAAAAGTTACTTATCATATTTTGCCAGAAAAAGCGCGTGATAAGATTTTCCGGAAGAGAAAATTTTTCGGAAAAACAGTTTTTTGACCGAATTACAACAGCGAATTATTTCGAGAAAAAAAATTCAAGAAGATAACAG